AGCTGTGGGGTGGCTATGGGGTGGCCATGGAGCCATGGGTGACTGTGGTGTGGTTGTGGGGTTGTGCGGTGGCCGTAAAGCCGTGGGGAGACCATGAGGGGGCCGCGGAGCCATGGGGTGTTCGTGGAGCCATGGGTGGCTGTGGGGTGACCATGGTGTGGCCGTGGGGCCATGGGATGGCCATGGGGGTGCATGGAAGCCATATAGCCAGGGGGAGGGGGCCATGGGGGCCACAGGGCCACCATGGGGCTGTTGGCTCTTCAGGCTGGTGCAGGCCGCGCCTTCCCGTGGACCATCCTCGGCCTGGCTGAGGTGTGAGGTGGGCAGGGGCCCACTTGGCAGAAGAAACCCCTGTGGGCTGAATGCCTTTTATAAAGGACTCTCCTCTGCCCCTGGAAATGTTCTCTCCCAAAGGGGAAGCGTTGGTGTAAAAAGCGACGGGTGTAGGTCAAGGAGAGCTCTTTCTCCTGAAAACATTCTCTGGCACTGAACAGCAGAGGCTTCCTAAGCCCACAGTGTGTGTGGCTCTCATTTCTGGGCATGCGATTGGGGCTGTCCAAACGTGACTGTTTTCTATGAATAAAGTGACCCCTCGGTTATGGCTAGTGGTTGATGGTCCCAGTCAAAGTGGGCATGGGTGTCCGGGGCTCTGACAAACCGGGACGCCTTGGGAGAGGGGCCCCTGGAAGGCAGAGAGCCAGTGCTGTCTGTGTCTCCTGTAGGGACACCAAGTCTGGATCACGTGCTTGTCAATTTATTTTCTTAATTTCTAGTTCCCTTCCTTCCATTAGCCCAGAGTCAACATGGCCTTACGTATATCCTGAAGCAAAACCAGCTGTCCCTGGAATAGATTCCCACGTGTGTCAGAGTAGAACTTCACTCCGTAGGGTTTTCAATGGCTGATTTTTAGGAAGGAGATCGCCAGGCCTTTCTTCCGAGGTGCCTGTGTAGACTCGAACCTCCAAGCTTTCTGTTAGCATCTGAGCTGTTAACCACTGTGCCACCAGGGCTCCACTCCGAAGCCAAACAGGGTAGAAATAAACAGACAGGTAGTAACTGGCTGCATTCCACAAGGTGACCTCACCACAGACACGCGGAGGCCTCTAAATTTCAAATCCTGAAACATTCCCGGGGACTTTTTCTTAAAGACTTGTCGTCTATTTCTAAATGTACTGATTACTCAAAAATCAAAATGGTGCTTCATTTGAGGTTTGGCTGCAGTTTTATCAAGGTGGGTTTTAAGAATTTAACTGGTGTTGGTTTGGGTTTTAGGAAATTATAATGCAAACATCCTCCCACGTTGGAGACGAATACGAGCCTTTTTCTGGAGAAACGCTGGGTAGGAGAATGACGCTTTGGACTTGAAAACCTCTGAGCCTGTCAGTGGAGCCCAGAGTCCTGCAGGAGAGGGCGGGCCGTGTGCGCGGAACCCGGGGGCTCCCTCGGGCCCGGAGAGGGCGGGCCGTGTGCGCGGAACCCGGGGGCTCCCTCGGGCCCGGGGAGGGCGGGCCGTGTGCGCGGAACTCGGGGGCTCCCTCGGGCCCGGGGAGGGCGGGCCGTGTGCGCGGAACCCGGGGGCTCCCTAAGGAATGCAGCCGTGGCCCTCAGACCTGAGGCGCATCCTCTGGAGACTTAGTAGCATGTTTAGCATCTGAGAGGTTGGATGTGATCGTCTCTTCAAATGCCCTGACGCTCCCTCTCCCGGAGGGAGGACCATTCCGTCCACAGAGGAGTAACTTTCAGAGCCCACTAGATCCAATCACCCAGCCCTTCATCGGCAAGGAGGAACGGAACAGAAATGAGGGCAAGAAACACAGGTTTTATTACCTCCAGGTGTAAGAGGGAAAGGCAAGGTAGAGTGTGTGGTGTGTGGACGTGTGTGTTAAACACTGGCAGGTGGGGGCTGGGGGTGGGCCTGTATAGCCCACGCTGGCCTGCAGGTGCGCTGAGGTCTCCAGAACGAAGCCGAGACTGCACAGTGGGGCAGCCTCCAGGTGAGCCCTTCATCCCAGAAGGCAGCACTCCTGAGGGCGCCAGTCATGGGTCCTGAGGCTGATAGGCGGTGGAGACGTCTCCCGCCCAGTGGTGTCCTCAGAAGCCCTGCCTGGAAACCACGTTCATTCACCCACACAGAGAAACTACACGTCCTTTGTAAGAGGAACCAGCTGCTTTATTTTCACAAAGCTGAACTGCATCCGTTCCCACTGGCTCTCCACTTCAAGGACACCTTAGCCTACATTATGAGAACTTCCCTAACTGTAGGGCAGACCAAAGAAGAACTGAGGCATTTCAATTATGGTGTTGGTGAAAAATATACCGTGGACTGCAAGAAAATCAGCAAATCTATCTCGGAGGAAGCACAGCCAGAATACTGCTTAAAAGTGAGGATGGCGAGACCTTCCCTCGTCATCAGGAGGGACCAATCCCTGGAGAAGGACATCACGTTTGGTAGAGGGTCAGCGAAAAACAGAGGGACCCTCAGTGAGATGGACTGACGCACTGGTGCCACAATGGACTCAAGCATACCAGCAGTCACGTGGATGGCGCAAGACCATGCGGCGTGTTGCTCTGTTGTACGGAGGGTCACTGCGAGTCAGAGCCAACTCGACCGCACCAACCCCCACAGACTGCTCAGCACACCGACTGCAATTCAGTGACAGCTTTCAGCTCAAAAATCTCCCAGTATATTGATGGAAATGTCATACTAGCAAAGTAGGCACTCCTTAAGCTTCTCTTTAGAGTCTAGAAAAGGAACATCCTGTGTCTTTCACAGCTGTGCACACTGTGGGTCTTTGAGAAAGATCAGGTAAGAGAAGGAAGAAGGGAAATCCTTGACATAAATGGCTCTGATTTCTTTGGAGACTCGTGAACACTTTGAGCATGGTTAGTCTTCACCAGGCAGGTCGGCTAGATGCATGGGGAGCTCTGGTCACACCAGATTCTTCATGGTGCCACGTGAGAATGTGCTGGGGTGTTATCTGAAGGGAACTGTGCGTGTGGGATGTGGGGTTATCAGGTCAGAGTGCTGACAGAACCATCCCTTCCACTACCAGTACCCACCACCCACCCATTTATCAAAGCATTTAACCCTGGGGCCATTCAAAAACCCCCAGGAAATAATCTGTCCGAAACAGGAAAATTGTGTGCTTCTACTTTTTAAGAAAATATGCCCTCAAACAACGTTAATTTTACGTCATTCTTTCCACCCATTTTCCCCATTTACTTGTAGATAATGGTTCTAGGCAGTAACGAACACCTTCAGCACCCAACGTATGAAGGGAAACGCGTTCCCTGAGGGAATGTGCTGGCATCTGGGTAACGGGGCTGGGGCTGAGGGGTCTGCCTGTCTTCGCGTGCTGTGGACGGGCCTAGAGCACCCTCTTGTGGACATAGGGCAGCCCGTTCCCAAGTTCCAAATGCTGTTTCTCAGTCTTTTAAAATTAAATTTGCTGAGTTACGCTGTGACATCCGGTCATAAACAACAAATGAAGCCACATAACAAAGTACTCTGTGTGGAAAACCACAAGCGTGCTAGGCTGTTTTTATGCTCTGTGTTTGGAATGAAAAGCCAGGAACCCCACAGCATGTGATCAGTGCTGAAGCTCAGATGTACTGAAGGCCACTCTGACCAGTGGTGTCCTCCTCACCCCCTTCTGCTACCACACGAACTCTATGGGCTCCCTGAACCACTGTCACCCAGCCCAGGCAGGGTGCGGGGCCACCACAGGGTCCTGGCCTTGCTGCAGTCCTTCTGGACAAGTGCAGCATTGACAAGCTGACGAGCTGGATGGCGCCTGGCTTGAGCAGCCTGCTATTTGGAGCCACACCAAGTAACTGCACATTCCTCTTTTTGTTCACCCATTTTTCTAAGTGATTAAACCCTACAATGCTCTGCTGGAGTACCATAAGTCAAATTTAATAACGGCTGGAAACTGTCCCACTCTCGGGGACTGAGCTGGCCCCACAGCCAACTTCAGGCACCTCCGTTCACGGCACGCAGGGGCGCCGTGGTGTTCACAGGTCTGTCAACTGGAGGTCACCACCAGGGCTGAAGGACTGCCGAAAATTCCTATGGGGCACCTATTCTTCACTATTAACAACTGGAAACTGTTGAGATTAGAAAAAAGGGAACCGTAAGACAAATGTGCTCCCTAGGCATTGCCTGCAGGCCTGCTTTCTCTCCTGCTCCGTCGCCATCACTCAGCCCACCTGACGTGGGAATGTTGGCGACACCACAGGATGCGGAATCCAGACTCCCCTGCTCACCTCACCAACCTTCAGGTACGTCACCAGCGGTGATGACACATGGCAGAGGTCCCCGAAGCACAGCCCTGCTCCACCTCTGCTCCTCCACACAACCTCACAGTGTGGGAGTGTACACACACATACATCCACACACCTGCCGCGCACCATCCGTGTGGACACTCCCGCCAGATCTCATCTGGACCCCCGACTCTGACCCGACACCTCCACTTGGTTGTCTCACAAGTGTCTCCTGGTTCCCACATCCCAAATGGAATGTGTGGGGTTCACACCTGTCCCCAACCTGGGCTTCTCCTCCCTTCCAACCGCCCCTTCAGGAAAGGAGCATTGCTTGCACCTCCAGTGTAGATGTTAAATCCAACCAGTCTTCATCGTCCGCACCGTGTGCCCAGATCTCTCACCTGTGCCTACCGCACCACCTCCCAACCTCACCTCTTGTCCTCTGTCCACCTCTGCCATACGACAGCACGTGGAACTTCCATCTCACGCGACAGCTCTGGTCAAATGCCTGGAGGAGCCTCGGGTCCTCTCAACGGCCCAGGCTGTCCAGGTCCGGAGTGGCCGGCCTGTGCCCACTGCAGCACAGCCTCCCGGCGCAGGCCCTTCCCAGCACGTCAGGGTCTTTCCCTCTGAGCACCTCCCTGCTGTCGAGGAACACGCCTAGCTTTCCACGGCTGGCTCCCGCCTGCCCCCACTGCCAGGTCCCAGCTTAGGGCTTGCCTCCTCAGAACCCTTCCTTGACCAACATAAGCAAATTCACAATGGCTGTATTATTGGGGTGATGGTTTAGGATTTCTATCAACAGAATGCAGCTCTGGGAGAACTCGGCTCCCACCGGCTTTGTTCAACACTGTAACAGCCAGTCCGAATGAGGTACCTGGCATAGAGCACACGCTCAATAAGCATTTGTTGAATAAATGTATCAGGACGCTTCCAAAAGGGCAAGACAGAGTTGTTTATAAATTTATAAATTTCAATTATGTTTGCTGTTGTTAAAAAACACGATGAGGAGTAACATAATAGCTGCAAACGTAATTTCTAAAGGGCAGCAACTGTAAAGAGACGAACATTCCAAGTGGAGGACCAACCACTCAACAGTACTTGACAGCACTTAAGGAGCATCGTGGAAAACCCTGAGAACGGCTTCAACGTGGCCAGCGTGACGTCTGTATCGCCAGCACGTCCCCTTCCCGTGTCCGAGCAGACGCAACGCCAGTGTCACTTGCTGATCCCAACAGTAACGGGCAAGGTTCACTTTTACTTTTTTATTATAAAAAAACACAAGAGTTTTAAGAAACGATGAATATATGACAAATCAGGACCACGGTGAGTTATTAAACCCATTCTGTATATACAAAATTCCGAAAGAGGAATATCTTCCAATGTGAAGCACATTATAGCACTGTCCCATATGTACACGGGACACAGACGCGCTCGGGCCGTCTGTGAATCTCTTATGTACACGCCACTGACACAGACCTGCAGGGAGCTGAGGCTCGTCCGGGCCCCCTCCTGACACGTGTTAAATATTTCTAAGGAACTTCAAGACAGGAGAGATGCGCTACAGAGGGTTTCTGCTGAGGGAGGGCTCAGGTTCCACTCCCTCAGGACACCCAGGAAGGAGTCTGGGGGCCTGTTTCTAGCAGAGATAGGAGAAGACCACGCTAGCGGATTTAATTTCTCTAGTCAATCGTGTGAGCACAGAGTCCAAAAATAGTTTGGGAACCAAATCACATTTTTACATTATTAAATTCATTATAAAATGTCACTCGATTTTAAAAAGCCACTAAAAGGACACTTTCTGCAGCACAAAAGGGCTAAGTTCAAGTTTCCGCCATTGGACCAGGACACAGCAAGCTGAGCCATGCCATGGATCACAGCAGCCTCTGTGAAATGTGCGCGGCCAGGCGACCGGCAGACAGGAGACTGCTCGTCCCTCCCTGTCTCCCTGCCCAGCAATGAAGACGGTCTCTGTGGTTTTCTCTCTTTTATGCCTTTCTTTTCAAACCTCTGTTTAGATCTGAGAGCTCAGTAATCTGTGGGCACTCAGACACTGTGAAGGCACTTCTCGGGGCACAGGGACACCCCCGGACCTAGCTGTGCTCTTCCATGCACAATGTGCCAGCTTCCTCCAGATAGCTGACGATCGCAGCCGGGATGCTCTGGGAGGCCTCCTTCCGCCAGGCTTCCAGGATCTTGGATATTTCTGTTGGATTGCTGGGACTCAAGTCACAAAGCGCATAGACAGCTGCTAACTGTACGCCCCATGGTATATCTAAAAAGAATTTTCAAATAAGTCATCACACAAAGAAATAGTGGTTATTTGAACTTTTAACTTTATAATCTAATAAAATAGTATTCAACTATGGAATGCTTTCTACCAGTAATGAAATTTAAACATAACGGGGAAAAAATAATTTAAGACCCATCTACAGATGGAAAAAAAAGAAAGAAAAGAAGATTACAGGCTCCAATCAGTCTCCCAGTGTTGGCTCAAGGCTGCCAAGCCTCTCAGAGCCAACACCAACCCCCTGAAGCAGCTCTGGGAGGACCATACTCCCATATTTAGGCTATAATAAAACGTGGACACCAAAACACTCGTCAAATACGCAACTCTATTAAATGTTCTCCCGGAAGTGCCTCTACGTGGACTTTGAAAATGAAAGCTGTCCTCATACCAGCCTTCGTATACTGAATGTAAGTCTCCTCTTTTAGCCTCAGTTTACAGAGGAGCCGCGTGGTTCTAACTCCCCATTAACTCTATGTTCCAGCTCTCTTTTACATGTACACGCGGCACTGCTGGTTTAAAGAGCCACGGCTGTGGCAACCGATGTGGGAAAACAAAGCTGGCATGGTGCTTACTAGCTCCTTTCTTTTTAATTCCAGTTACCACCGAGTCGACTCCAACTCGTGGCGACCCCATGCGGGTCAGAGTAGAACTGTGCTCCACTGGATTTTCAATGGCTCGTTTTTCGACTCGAGATCATCAGGCGTTTCTCCCAAGGTGCCTCTGGGTGGACTGGAACTGCCAACTTTTGGGTGAGCAGCTGCGTACATTAAGTTACACCACCCAGGGGCTCCACTGGCTCTTTAGCTTAAGCAAATACTTCCTCTGGGCTTTTGTTCCCTTAGGTACAAGGTAAGGTCAATGCTGTGCACCTTAGAGGACCATCCCTGGCCCAGTGTGAGCTGCAGGGCAGTGGCCAGCACAGAGCTGACCCAGAGCAGGCTTGAGTCGGCTCCTGTTCCTTCACATGGGAGGCGAGCATGCTGCCTCTCAGAGGCGCCACGCTGGATCACAGCAGGTGAGCCTGCAAGTCCATCTATCAGCCACCATTTTGGCTGCCATCTTTTACGGTCAATTTAAAATTGAGACTGTACAAGAGTCCATTTTCGTATGGAAGACATGTGCACCCCTCGGGAGCCATCCAAAGTCAAAGAAGCAATTTCAGGGAGAGCACCTTCCAACCGTTCTCGTTCAGCTCACACGGCAAGCCTCATGCCTAAAGCCGAAGACAAAGGACCTGCCATGCTACAAGGATCTCGGGCACAGCTGGGTGCCCAAGACACGGCGGCGGGAAGCTGTTTCACTGTACTACTCTCTGATTGCACAACACTTAAAACAGAAACTAGAGTCATCACTTCCAAGGGTTGCTTTCAATCAAGCTCTTCATATAATAATAAGACAATATAAAATCACATGCTACACGGTATGTAAATTCTAACAGAAGTTACGCCAAGAAGCCTTGTTCACCGGTTTCCAGGTCTCTCTTGATGACAAGAATTCGGTGAGGCCTAGTACCTTGCTGTGCCCGCCACGCACTCCACTCCTGTGGTCTCAGCAGACCATCACAACACAACAGCACGGGAGGGCTCTGTGGACTGCGGGGCGAGGTCACTGTCCCGGACGGCACCGCAGGGGTGTCAGCAGAGTCTCCAAGAGGAAGCGTCAGGGCCAATTAGACCAGTGAGAAAGAATGAACGCCCTCATCCTTAGCCATGCACCACCCAGCAGGACAGACACCACCATTTAAACCAGTACCACCACAGAACCCACAGCTCATCAGGTGTGACTGCTGAACCACAGGGATGACTGCAGCCTGTAGGAGACCTTTTCTCCCTCACCTAGAAGGTGAGCAGAGAGCAGGCCACACGGCTGGGGCTCAAACACTTAGTAGAGAAGCGTTTAAAGTCAAAAAAGTCATCTGTATAAACAAGAGTTTTACCTTCATCCTGAGCATGCTGTATGAACATCCCAATAACTGAGCTGATATTCTTCACAGCAGATGGAAACCCTTCCTTCAAACCCAACTGGCCTAAACGACCTAGGGAAAAAACAAAATACAAAATGTAAAACAATCTTTGGTTAAATGTCAATTAACTTTTCACAAGAATTAAAATTGGTTTTCTTTTGTGTGAGATGATGTAGATTAAACCTCATTCACATCTGAACCAAAGTTTAGGTGGATAAGTGAAGAGGTTAAATGATGTAGAATCGTGACGTAGAGCAGCACCCTTCCTGTTTTGGAGATGAGCCAATGCACACGGCAGACAGAATACGTCCAGCTCAGCGTGCAACCATGCCAGTTGAGCTGTAATAAATGGAATTCAGAAGAATGAGTTCAGGAGGGCAAATATGAGATGGTTAACTTTTGTTAGATTAAAAGACCAATTATAAAACTAAGGGCCCATCAAAAACTGCTTTTTTGGTATAATATTTGGCAACTGCTGCTGTAATATTGATGAGCGCTACTCAAGCACACAGACCCTGTGAAGTCCTCAAGGTGAGAACCATGTCCACAAGAACTGTGACGTCTCTGCCCTTTGCTCAGTGCTGAGATGTGGCCCGGCGGTGAGAAGCAAGGTACTGGCCCTCGGCACGAAGCAGCGGTGCCGCTGACCCTGAGTCGTTCTTCATCACCAGGAGCTCACAGTCAAAACACCGCCCAGCTTCAGCACATGCTGGATGAAGCAGTAACAGTGATTCTCACTGAATCCTGGTGCGAAGCGCCATCACTGTCCTGGACAACGAGACAGGCTGTGAACACCAAGAACCACTGAGGCACAGCGAGCCACCAGGCATCCTGAGGAAGCAGCTGGGTGGTGAGTGGTGAAGGGAACTGGTCGCCTTTCCCATGGACACCACGTTGATGTGAGAGAATGACTGAAAAGCGATGGCTGCTCAGATCTAGGCAGACCTTCTTTCAAAAATGAACCAAGTGTGGAGGAAAATGTAGAACAAAATTCTAACTCACAAAAAAAAAAAATCAGACTTACTGATCTGACAGAGACTGGAGAAACCCCGAGAATATGGCCCCCGGACACCCTTATAGCTCAATACTGAAGTCACTCCTGAGGTTCACTCTTCATCCAAAGATTAGACAAGCCCGAAAAACAAAACGAGACTAAAGGGACACACCAGCCCACGGACAAGGACTAGAAGGCAGGAGGGGACAGGAAAGCTGGTAATGGGGAACCCAAGGTTGAGAAGGGAGAGTGTTGATATGTCGTGCATTGGTAAGCAATGTCACAAAACAAAGTGTGTACTGTTCAATGAAAAACTAGTATCCAAAGTACAATTAAAAAAAAAATACAAAAAAGAATAGTCAAATCCAGAAAAAAAAACAAAAACAAACAAAGTGACCCTGTCACTTCAAGGAAATCTATCACTGTTACAATGATAAAATTTGAGCTTTTAAGCAAAATTTGAATTTTGGAAAACTTCTGTCAGCCACCTAGAGTTTGGCAGCTTTTTAATACTTAAGACTTCTCTGAAGAGACTGGTGATATTAATAAGTACATGGTTTTTTAAGATATTGTTCACATTTAGAATATCTGCAGGCTGGCCCTAGGGATTCCACAGCGTAACCGTGCGAGTTCAGATACGGTTTTGCATTTCACACTGCAACTACTAAAGAAGCCACTACTTCCTGAGCTTTACTGCAGTGACACAGAAAATGTTCACAATCACCCGACGAACCTGTAACATACCCCTCCCCTCTTCCATTTTCGCATCTGTGAGACTGCATTTTCCTCACATATCTCCACCGGAACACCTTACCACAGCAGACCTCTTCCTATTAAGCCAGACAGTGAAGAGGTGTGCAACAATGCAATCCATTCCTCTACTTCTGTTTGTTTTTGAAATACGTTTTTTCTTCATTAAAACGTCAAACAACTATTGTTATTTTAAAATTTACAACTACACATTTTTAAAATTTCTCAGTTACAATCCCTAATACAGTGAATGTGGACAGAGATAATCTGGATAACCAGAGTTCCGGTGGGGGAGGAGGGGGTGGTCTTCCAATGACTTCTGAGAGTACACAGGGGTCCCAAGAACAAAAAGTCTGAGAAGTGCTGATACAGATCCTTGGGCAACCAGATTCAACCACAGGCTCATGAAGCAGGATGGAAGCAACCTCTCGTCCCCACTCCTCCAGATGCCTGCTCCACTCCAGCGCCCCTGCTGTGCATGTCAGCTAGACCCAGGCCATCCTCCACTCCAGCGCCCCTG